TTTTTTTCCTTTAAGCGCAACTGGTGCACTTACTGTGGAGTAGCCTCTTATTTTCCTAATCTCTAAAATGAGACTACCCTCTGCTCCACGCCTTCCGCTGGCTTCCCATCTCACTCAAAGTAAAAGCCAAAATTCCTACTATCACCTACTAGGCGCTACGAGATCTGTCCCGGCCTCTTTACTAGCAGATGCTCCCAGCTAAAAGGAGAGTTTCGGAAGAGTGGGGGCTGCCGGTTGTTCTTTTTAAATCTTATTTTGTTTCCTATGTATCTCTAGCACCTAGAACAGTGTCTGGCATATAGTAGGTAATCAGTACATACTTGTTGAATGAATACCCTACCATTACAAAATCAGAAAGTTTCGAGGCTCGAATAGCGCACAGATACATAAAAGCCTTCATCAGGTGTGAAGTGCCAAATAAATGTGAGGCAAAAGCCAAACAGAAAAATTGTCATCTGTATTTCCCCAAGATCCAGGTTGGTCTACTTTTGCCCCCAAGACATTTCGCAGCTGCTGGTCAGAAAACAGAAGAAGATGGAGGAAAAATCAGAAACAGTAGAGATAAAGAAACCAACACCTTCAGACAGCTGAGCTTATGACACCTTTACAGGATGGAAGACGGTGAGCCATGAGATTGTCAGTGGGTAGCACTGTTTGGTTGTAACAGAGCTACTTTGTAAGCTAAATGATTTTATTTTTTTTTTCCTTCTGATAAGAAGCAAAGCAAGGATGGATAAAGGGGGCAGATGAGGTAATAGTAGAGAGCTCCTAGAGCGGTAATTTTGATCATTTGTGCCTATTACACAACTTCTGGAAAACTTGACAGCTCCTATGGTGTAAGCTTTATGTATGAAAACCTGTGAATTTAGCAAAAAAGTTCAAATGGAATATATGGCAAACATTATTCTTGAGGTCCCAGAGAACTTGTAAAAATGAGGTGCTTTTTTTGGGTGGTGGGTGGAGACGGAGTCTTGCTCTGTCACCCAGGCTGGAGTGCAGTGGCGCGATCTCCACTCACTGCAACCTCCACCTCCCAGGTTCAAGCAATTATCCTGCCTCAGTATCCCATGTAGCTGGGACTACAGGCGTAGGCCGTCACCCGGGCTAATTTTTTGTATTTTAGTAGAGACAGGGTTTCACTGTGTTGCCCAGGCTGGTCTCCAACTACTGAGCTCAGGCAATCCGCCCACCTAGGCCTCCCAAAGTGCTAGGATTACAAAGGCATGAGCCACACCCCAGGCCTTTTTGTTTGTTTGTTTTTTGTTATTTTAGTAGAGGTGGATTTTCACCATGTTGGCCAGGCTGATCTGGAACTCCAGACTACAAGTGATCCACCTGCCTCGACCTCCCAAAGTGCTGGGATTACAGTCATGAGCCTGTAATACTCGGCCAAAAATGATGCTTTAATAATTGGGCTAGTGATATAGGATCAAATTTTCTGCCTTTCACTATGTAGCCAACTTTTCTTTTGGATTTTTTACTATTGGTAACTTTGGCATGATTAACTCAAAATCATCTTTAGAATCTTTTACATCTCTTTTCAGAGTTGAGGACATGCAATTGGAATTCATTGATTAAAAACAATACTTAAAATGATTTGAAAAGCCAAATTTTAAAAGTAAGGTGTAGCGGCCAGGCGCGGTGGCTCACACCCATAATCCCAGCGCTTGGGGAGGCCAAGGCAGGTGGCTCACCTGAGGTCAGGCATTGGAAACCAGCCTGACCAACAAGGTGAAACCCCTGTCTCTACTAAAAATGCAAAAATTAGCCGGGCGTGGTCATGGGCACCTGTAGTCCCAGCTACTTGGGAGGCTGAGACAGGTGCTTGAACCTGGGAGGCAGAGGTTGCAGTGAGCCGAGATCACACCACTGCACTCCAGCCTGGGTGAGGGAGTGAGACTCTGTCTCAAAAAAAATAATAATAAAATAAAAAAATAGGGTGTGGCAAGTACCTATATCTAGTATTCTGTAAATTTCTTTTTTTAAAAAAATACACAATAGCCTTTTATGTACATACGCCAAGAGAGATTATACTGCCTCGGAAATAATGCATGGCTTTATACCAAAGTCAAGCAAGTTACCTAAGGTAAAAATAATTTTTTATTCTACAAGTTAAGAAATTAGCCAAAGTTAAGAGTTAGCATTTCAAAAAACTGAATATTTTCTCTTTTAGTAGCAAAACCAAATATTCAAATACATATTTTTGTTCTCAAGTATCTCAAGAAATACTTTCAAAATTGCAGCACTCCTATAAATGTCAGTGTAGGTATAAAACACTCCTCTGTAGCGAGTGTTTTAGCGAGTTTACTCCTCTGTAGCGACAAAATCTCTCTGCGTTGAAAATTACATTAATAAATGCCTGATAAATTTAACCATTTATTATCATAAATAATGCTTTCACAGCATCATTACATGGTAGTTAGGCCCAGACTCTGAAGTTGGAAAGCTCTAGTTTGAATATGAGTTCTGCTGGTTTCTCCCTGGGTCACTCTAGCACATTATTTAACCTCTCTAATCTTCACTAATCTTTACTACTTAACCTCCCCATAGCTTTAAAAGAAGAAAACAAAAGTGCCTGCTTCATGAGATAGTTGTGAGGTTAAATGAAATATTGTAGGTAAAGCATGCCTGGCACACATTTTTTTGAGTAAATGTTTTAAATAGGTGGTAGAAAAGAGAACTCTTAAATTTGTAGTCATCACTAATGCCATCTTTTACTTCTAACAGAATTATCAGCGAGTTTTGTCCTAGTATTTAATCTTCTAGTTGAAAATTAGGAAATCCATGTCTTTTTCTGAGTTCTTATTATGAATCTTTTAGAAAATATATCTATTTAACAATGAGTATATATTTACGTGTAATAAGAAAATTTGTCTAATGTCATTCTGAAATATCTTAGTTTAATGATGAAATACAAATATTATTCAACCTACCTTTCTAGTTGTTCAGTCCCTCTGATTTTATCACATTTACTTATTCTCCTCTTAGACTTTTCTTTTACCTACTCCTTAGTTATTAGTGTTTCCCAGAATTCTATTCTCTGCTGTCTTCCCCAGCCCCACTCGCTTGTTTTATTTATTCTCTTTGAGTGATCCTTTGCACACCAATGGCTTCAATTACTGCCAATCTTTTGATATCACCCTGTATAACCTCCGTGTTGATACATATCAATAGAAGGTGCAGACTAGCAGAAATACCACCACACAGACACCACTTCGGTTTACTTATCTAAAGGATACGTAAAGGAATTAGTTGCAATATCAGCTAAGAGATGAAAGTGCAAGTTTCTAAACCTTCCAAATACTCAGACCTTCTGGAATGCATAACATCAGATCTTCTGGAAATTTAACTTTCTCTTCCAGTCCTAGTCTTATATGCATAAAGCTGGACTAGTCCCATACATAGCCCCTTCCCTAGAGACCACTTCACCTAGGCATGGTAGATCCTCAATCACAGAGTAATACAATACACAATATGATAGCTAGGACACAGTTTAGAGGATATTCAGCTATGAACAAATTATTCTAAGCTTTTCTAGGCTAATGCAGTCTAGTTTAGTGTATTCCCAAATTTAGCACGATGAGAATAAAACATGAAACCATAGTCTCGATGTCTTTGAAAGCTATGATGTCAAGCCCTTATACACACTTATAATTACAGAGCTCTTGTCTGAGATCCAGACATGAATATTCAACTGGTTATTGGACATCTTTACCTTTAAGTCTCATTGGCACCTCATATTCCTCCCCAAAAAGGAGTTGGTCCTCTTCATACATTACCTTTCTCAATGAAAAGCATCACCATCCATCTGGTTGCCCATATCAAGAAGCTAAGAGTCAAACTTGACTCTTCCTTCTCCCTCATCCATTACATCTATGCCGAATCAAGTTCTGTTGATTCTTCCTCTTCATAACTTTCTAATCCATCCCACTTTTCTCTACTCTGACTAACTTGGTTCAGGCATTTACATAGATCACACACACCAAATAACATCCTCTCCATTTACGATAGGGCACATTCTGAGTAAATGACTCGGTGACTTCACTTCTTCTCTTCATTTACATAGAATATTCGCCAAGTACCAATGGGAAACCTGTAGATTATTGAAACCCCAGAAAATTCTGTAAGTGGGGCTCTTGAGCCTATGCTCCGGCCCATTCCCACACTGTGGAATGTACTTTCCTTCTCAATAAATCCCTGCTTTTGCTTTCCTGGTTTTGTTTGTGCATTTTGTCCAATTCTTTGTTCAAGATGCCAAGAACCTAGACAATGTTTACTGGTAAAA